TATCAAAATCCAAGATGGCTGCCTGTCGGCCATGTTATTTATCCGATCAGTCTCAAAAGTTGCCCTGCACAGCTCAGGACAAAGGGGAACCTACACATAAAATTTGAGAAAGATCCCTTAGGTACTTCTTGAGAAATAGCGATAACAAACTTTCACTATCAAAATCCAAGATGGCTGCCTGTCGGCCATGTTGTTTATCCGGTCAGTCTCAAAAGTTGCCCTGCACAGCTAAGGACCAAGGGGAACCTGCATATATAATTTGAGAAAGATCCCTCTGGTACTTCTTGAGAAATACCGATAACAAGAATTGTTTACGGACGGACGACGGACGACGGACAACGGACGGACGACGGACCACGTACGCAGGGTGATTTAAATAGCCCACCATCAGATAATGGTGGGCTAAAAATGCTGAAATCAATGAAATGTTATTAGTGCAGTAGGATCCACTACCCATGCTACATCTATGATCAAGGTTTTGATGGTGTAGCTTTGTCAGAAACAGAGCTTAACACAAAACCTTAACATTGTTGACCCCGCCGTCGCCGTCGGAAAAGCAGCACCTATGTGTCTTTCCGACATCTGTCGTAGGCGACACAATAAAAGATGTCCAGATTTATATCCCATTTGTATAAAGAAATAAAGAATATGACACCCATATATAGATACACTTATGTAAATCAAATACTTACCAACACCACTTTTTAACACCTCCGCTAAAATCTGGCGAAGGCCTAGTGAGTCTTGTAAATGTACTAATTCATTCAACATGTCTGGCTGTAAGTAAAATAGGAAGTAAACGATAAACAATGTTTTCTTTTCATTATGATGCTATTTCATTGGTAAGACTGTTTCTACCACAATACGCTGTGTTATTTCACTCTCAGATCATTGTATAAACACGCAGACTGTTAGATAAATATGAGTTATATACCACATGTGGTATATGACCTTCAAGAGTTTTGATTGGTCGAGAAGATGAACTCTGACCAGGAAGATTTTTCCACATGCTTTTTGCCACCTGCTGTTTTGTTTATGTTGTCGGGTGTCAACATCCGACAAATGTTGATGACTTTGTGAGGTTATGCGGAAAAGGGGGTTATTAAGGCAATATCAAAAGATGATACTTAGAGATTTGATCGCTCGTTTCAAAACAAGATCCGTCACGGTGTCGGGAAATATTTCGTTCACTTAACGTCCCGTTATCGCTATTTAGACGGTCTGACTATGGCTGAACTTTCACTATAAACGTCAACCATAGAACCGTCACGAAGAAACGTAGGCCTATGGTTTTGGATATTGACAGCGGTGAGTTACGGTGAGTTCATCACTTGGCGGGAGGCAGACTTCGTACGATATGCTTACGCGCATATAGTCTGTGGTTAATTTATTGCCGAAACATTAATTTTGACAATATTTGAATTTGTAAAATTTGTAAAATCGTTAGTTAATTTTCAAAACTAAAGCTCGTGTCTTTTGTAACTTTTGAAAATTAACTAACTCGAGTGAAATAAATACCATATTCAACAACCACTCGTTGTGTAACCTCTATAAATACTATATTAGAAACATATTTAAGGATCCCTGTACCACTGCCAAGAACTGAAAATATGAACTGGAAACCGACTTACTGGTATGGCTATATCTTTGATAATTTAAACCATTCTTGAGAAGAAAACCATACATTACAAGACTTTTATGAAAAAATAACGGAGATGGGTTACCTGGTCAACGGACGTGACCAGTGGCCTAACTGTGCTACAATTAAATCTAAAATGTTTGTAACCTGAAATAGGCCTAACATTGAGGATAATAGCCAAAGTTAAATTATAAGGGTACATTCTTTTGCAGTTGCACCATTCTTGGGTTAGCAAAATCATCAACATCAATATAATCATAAAATCATCAACATAAATTTGGGTAATTAAGAAACATGATAAGTTTACCTTGCTTTTCAGCAGGATGATACAAGCAATAATATGAACGTCCTTCACGTGTCCAAGGGTCCTATCACTAACAGTGGTTGTCTGTAATTAAATAATATCATTACACAACAGTTAGTTATCATTACATATACATCAAATACATAAAACACATGTACAGCCCTTACAGTAGTTTCCTTATGATGAAAATATTCCTCATGTGTTACACTATTTCACATTTCAGTACATCAGACAATATGACAATAAACATTTTCAACTCAAATATTTGTTATTTAATTGTATTGGCAAAAATACTTTGAGCTTAGCATGAGCTAGCTATTATCAACCAATCAAATGACTAATCAGAAATCATTATTTGACAATTTATTTGACAAACAACTCTAGAAATGTTTTCCTTAGCCCCTGTTCTTTACATGAAGATCAAGGTAATTTATATGGACTGCCTTTAAAATTTCACCCCAACAAGTTATATACCATTTAAATATCACTACCCTATGTGTCATGGTTCATAAGGAGTCGTCATTTGGAGATTTTCACATCTGATCTGTTTCCATGAATCTACATCAGGATAATTTGTAATTTGAACAATCTTGATAGCTCCTTATCCTAGAAAATTACAGCCCAGCATCATAACTCCAGCCTTTGTTTTGTCTTTTTTAGAAACTTGACCCCTTGGAACTTGAATGTGGGTTTCAGTAATGTATTTTATCAAACACGACATGTGTATTTCTACTTCCCACCTTAGTTAACTACGAGTTAGCTTCTGATGCTCTATGGGTATATAAGACTGTAAATACTATATTAGAAACATATTTTAGTGCCTCTGCCAAAAACTGAAATTATGCACTGGAAACCGACTTACTGGTACGTTAAATGGTTCAGGGGTCAATTTATATTTATCTCAATTAGATTTGTTTGAACAATTGTTTCAGCCTATTACACATATTTTGTACCCTTTGACCTTGAAATTTATTTGTAGTTACATGTATGTGTCTAGGCCATTTTGACCTTGACATTTATTTGTAGTTACATGTATGTGTCTAGGCCATTTGGGTTTAATAATTACATGGCACTGCACTGTGACCCCTGATCTATTGGTTGTAAGAAGTTATTTGATAAAAATGCTTTCAACACCTTTAACACCTATGACCTTGATTTTTTAACACTAACATTAATTATTATACCAGCATTTCACCCTAGAACACTATGAGATGATTAAAAGGCACATATGATTCTTTGGAAGTTCTAATTTAAAGAAAACAGATGATAATGGTTAAAGCAGACACCACACCTAATGGCATACTTCAAAATGTAATACTATTTCAAAACAAAATTAACGATTACTTATCTGTAATAATAATCACTTTTAATCCAAATTAGTATGACAAAAATATCCAAAGACTTTATGATGGTTTAATACAACAAGAGATCCCAGAGGGATCTTGGTGCCCATCTTTGTACCATCTTCGTTAGTTCTATGTCAATTTGATCTTTTGAGTTTTCTCTTCTTTTCTCTTATCAGTTTGGTCAAGTCATGAAAACAGTAAATGCACCGTTTCATATATTTACTAGTAGTCAGTAATAGAAATAGATTGGATCATTACAATATCAGAAAGATCTCATCAGTACTTCCTGTGGCCATCTTGTTTATTCGATCAGTCTCAAAAGTAAACATGCACAACAACAGACCAAGGGGAACCTTTATATTAAATTTGAGAAAGATCCCTCCAAAACTTACTCAGAATCAGCGATAACAAACATTAACTATCAAAATCCAAGAAGGCCAACTGTCAGCCATTTTGTTTTTTCCAACAGTCTCAAATGTAAACATGCACCACAACAGACAAAGGGGAACCTACATGTCAAATCTGAGAAAGATCCCTTTAAAAATTCCTGAGAAATAGCAATAACAAACAGTCATTGTCACAATCCAAGATGTCCAGCTGTCGGCCATTGATTTATCTGATCTCAAAAGTAAACATGCACAACTGCAGACCAAGGGGAACCATACATGCCAGAATTCTTGGAGACCAATCTGTGAGTTTTACAGTCTTTTTAAGGGAATTGAGGTGAAAATAAGGGAGGTTTTATTTGCGGCATTTTTTCACGGCAAAAAGACTATCATATTCAACTAAATCAATGAAATAAAGCACAAAATCTTTAAGTAAGGAACTTTGTTTTGACTTTGGCAGGTTTTTTTTGTATATATTGAATATGATTATATACATTTAATAGTACAAAGTTAACAAAACAAAATATCACATAGTTGAGATATATACTGAAGAAGCAGATTTTTATATTAAATTTCGAAATTAAGTTGGACAGGCCACTTTTCACAGCAGCCACAGTACTACCGATGTTCAGTTTAAACTTTGAACTATGTATTTGGATGGGTTTGTAAAAATAAGGATCATAGTTGTCAATGTTCATTTACATTTGAACTTCTTGATAATGTAACAGAATTTTGAAACATGCATTTAACAAAAGGACAGAAATAATAAGCTGTGAAAGTGAAGAAAACTGTGTTCAGTATTTGGACTTTTAAATTACATATTTCAGCATTCAGAACAAAGACTTTTTCCATCTTCTTCATGACATGCCCCTTATATATTTACCGGTCGTTCTCTTTACTTTCGTAGTGAAATTATATTTGTAAAGAAACACTTAGCCGGACAATGCATTAATCAAAGTTTCTAGCAATGAACTAACCTTACAAACATGACAGAAAACATGTTTTGTGCTAGTTCTACTGACAGTGTGAGGTATCAACTTCACGCGAAATTTTGATGCTGAAGCCCACACCGTCGGGTATTGGTTGAATGTCAGGCATTCTGTAGTATCACAGAAATTTATGGTAACAATAAGAAAGGATCACACTAAATCTTTAATAAGAATTTATTTTAATTGTTCAGATGGATTACTTATTGTAAAAGACACCGAAATCAACTCACAATTTCAACCAGCTCAATGTTCCGTAAGTAATCGGAAGAGCTCTTCGATCACATGACCAATCACATGACCGCTACTCGAGAGCTCTCGTGATTTATCGCTGAAAACATTGTTGAATCTCGTAAGACTTCGAGTAAACAACAACAGGAAAATGCATGGTTCACCGATCGATCATTAAGAAACGTGAGGGTTTGAGGACTTTCCGTAAATTCATGTCCCACGCCGTGAGACTTTATCGGAGGTGAAAATCTGTGAAATGTTGCCTCACGCCGTTAATTCTGGCATGTATGGGGAACTAATATATTGAGAAAGATCCCTCTACAACTTCATGGGAAATAGCGATAACAAACATTCACTGTTAAAATCCAAGATGGCCAAGTTTCGGCCATTTTGTTCATACGATCAGCCTCAAAATTAAACATGTACAACTACAGACTACAAACAAAATTTGAGAAAGATCCCTCCAAAACTTCATGAGAAATAGCGATAACAAGCATTTATTGTTAAAATTCAAGATGGCCGCCTGTCGGCCAGTTTGTTTAAACGATCAGTCTCAAAAGTTACCCTGCACAACTACACACCAAGAGGAACCTTCATATCAAATTTGAGAAAGATCCTTCCAGGACTTTAAGAGAAATAGCGATAACAAGAATGGTTTAAGGACGGACCATGGACGGACCATGGACAGATGACGGACCATTGACGAAGGGTGATTAAAGATTTTAATACTTGCTGCCCACCATCATCTGAAAACCGACCATCTAAAAGTGACACAAAGAATTCATCAGGGGATTCATCAAGAGATGAAGTGTAAGAGATGAAGTGTAAGGGATGAAGTGTAAGGGATGAAGTGTAAGGGATGAAGTGTAAGGGAATTACTAAGGAACTCTTGGTGTCATTTCTATGTATACAGTGCAATCTGTAGTAAGCGACCACCCAAGGGAAATTTAAAAAGCGGTTGTTAAATAAAAGTGGTCTTTAATAAAATTTGACCATACTTTGTACAGAATTACACAAATGACTATAACCAAACGACTCTTTATTCAGACCAATGTCAACAGATCACCACCCCAAGTGCACATTTACACGTGTATTACAGATAGCTTAAAACACCATCATTCAATAGATAAGGTGAATAAATAATCAATAGTCGAGTGATAATTATGACAGTAAACAAACAACTAAGAGTGTTTGAGAAGAATTGTCATTTCACTCAAAACAAATGATCACCAGAGACTTGCTTATATGTCTGTGTTTTTGGTAATAACGATGATACTGGCGCTGAGAAGTTCAGGGGTGTTATCAAAGGCATTTAACATTGTCGAGGATTTAGAAACGATATGTGTGCTAACATTTAATGTTAATTTCGTGCAAAAGTGATGTCGTGAACATCTCAAAACAGACCCCGATAGTTTTGCTCAACCACGATAAATATCAGTCTGTAAGTTTTATTCACTGGTAATTAAATCAACAATACTGGCAGTTAGAAAAAAACACTTTTCATTTTTTTCTGCACACCAATAAATTTGTTATAAGTTTGGAAATTGGAAATTGGTTTTATTTGGAGTCACACAGCTATTTTAATGACCGTTTGGTCAAACATGGTTGCTAAAATGAATCAAATGTGGTTGATTAAAGTAATCTTTGAGATCAGTATTGGGTGATTACTGGTAGCATTAGACAGATAGTCGCTTAATACAGATAAATTACTTCATCTCAGCATGCAACTTGCAAAATATCATCACCCTAGACCTTTTGTTTATTGAGATCAGATCATTTAAATGTTTATACATATTTGACCCTGATGTAACTTTGAATATGGGTGAAGGTCATTCATTTGAACAAATATGGCAGCCCTTCATCCAAGCATGCTACTGGCAAAATATCAACATTCTGGGCCTCATGATTATTCAGAAGAAGTTGTTTCAAGTTTTAAACATATTTGATCAATCAAGGTCATTCATTTTTACAAACATGGAAGTCCTTCTACCCAGCATGTTACAGGCAAAATATCATCATCTTGTGCCTTTTGGTTATTCAGAAGTTGTTTAAAGGTTTCAAACATATTTGATCCCTGTGACCTGGAATGAATGTCAAGGTCATTCCTTTTGACAAACTTGGTAGCCCTTAATCCCAGCATGTTACGGGCTAAAAAGCATTATCCTGCACCTTTTGGTTATTCAGAAGAGGTTGTTTTAAGATTTCAAACATTGTTGACCCCTGTGACCTTGAATATAGGTAAAGGTCATTCATTTTAACAAACTGGATAGCCCTTCATCCTAGCATGCTACTGGCCAAATATCATAACCCTGGGCCTTTTGGTTATTCAAAAGAAGTCTTTTAAAGATTTTGAACATATCTGATCCCTGTGACCATAAGCAACAGTTGGGTCATTCATTTGAACAAACTTGATAGCCCTTCATCCCAACATCTTACAGGCCAAATATAGTCGCTTGAAGGTTTCCAACATATTTGACCCCTGTGACCTTAAATATAAGTCAAGGTCATCAATTTTAACAAACTTGGTAGTCGTTCATCCTAGCATACTATTGGCCAAATATCAACATTCTGGGCACCTTGGTTATTCAACAAGTCATTTAAAGATTTTAAACATATTTGAGCCCTGTGACCTTGAATATAAGTCAAGTTCATTTATTTTAACAAACTTCAGAGACTTTCATTCAAGCATGATACTGGCAAAATATCAACATTCTGGACCTCATGGTTATTTAGAAGAAGTTATTTAAAAGTTTGTTTTAGACATATTTGACCCCTGTGACCTTCAATATGAGTGAAGGTCATTCATTTTAACAAAGTTGGTAGTCCATTTTACCAGCATGCTACTGACAAAATATCACCATCCTGGTCCTTTTGGTTGTTCAGAAGAAATTGTTTAAAGGTTTTATTAGACATTTGACCCCTGTGACCTTGAATATGGGTGAAGGTCATTTATTTGAACAAACTTTGTAGCCCTTCATCCCAGTAGCTTCTGGCCAAATATCATCACCCTAGGCCTTTTGGTTATTAAGAAAAAGTTGTTTAAAGTAAAATATTGATGCTGGCTGCCGGTTGATGGACGAACGCTGCGCCACAGCATAAGCTCACTTTGCCCTTCAGGCCAGGTGCGCTAAAGATGACAAGAGTTTTTTAGTTCCTCCCTAGCACTTTCACCTCTTTGGGGGTTCATCAGGGGAACTGAGAGGTGAAAGTACTAGTAAGGTACTAGGGAGATATACTACACAATCACAAAGATTTTGAATGTTTTTTCTGATTATATATACCGAAGGTATCTGTCTTGCTTCTTCCACGCGATCATTTATAAGGTAAGCACTGGTCAGCAATACATCGGCAGAAGGCTTCCCCTCCCTTCTGTTAGCTATAGAATACACTAGAGAAAGACAACAATTTATATCAATGTGTTAAGACGGCCAGATCAACATGCGTGAACTTTGAAGTATTACTCACCAACAGCTGGTCAGTCTTTTAAAATCAATTGACATATATACTGACAATAAAACCTCCTGTGAAATTAACCTATTGAATACCATACACCTTTATCAACAAGAGGCCCAAGAGCCTTAGCGGTCACCTGTGGCAATCATTAAGCAGAACAAGCATTTTGAAATTTGTGCCGAGTTGGAATCATAGTCAACAATGTTATTTCCCTATATAAATTTTAAAAACTTGTTTCAAAATTGATGTAAAATAAATAAAGTTTGTATCTTAAACATATCAACATACCCTGCCTCTAGCACATATCATACATGCATGCATACATAACACACATGAAGACATATCCTTAAATGACCTTAGCTGTTAATTCAACATTAAACAAAGTAAAACCAAACCTTGAAAAAAGGACAGCCTTTCCATCCAGCTATAGGACAGTGTATAATGCCATAGCCATCTCTAATCTCTTGGCCTATGATATACTGTTTAGGGATCTGACATAACTCTGGGTGTCAATCCAAAGCACAGTAACTTAAAACAGGTAATAACCAAAACTTGTCTTACCTTTATCAATCAGAGGCTGATCATCTTCCTGCACAAGTTCAATCATTATTTGTAGATAGTCTAACCTCCTGATTTGCGAATGTTTCAACAATTCCTCTAACGCTTCTACCGCTAGTGACACATCTCTGAAAAAAAAAACACAACTAAAGATTCTTCAGCTGGTATCACATCTCATAAAACGATTTTTGTCAGATCTACAAAAGATAATCTTTGCTTTCTTTGCTCTTCATTTTCCTTACAGATAGGTAACCACCCAGTCCCATGTTGGAAATCCTAAACGGAAATCTTGTATATTAACTTCAATCTTATAATGTCATATGTTATTTACCAATATGACAAATGTTATTGTATAAGAAGTGCATATAACTATCATACAAGTGTTGACTATGGAACTCCAGGTACGTCGGTTTGTGTTTTGAAGTAAGGCGATTGGGTTTTAAGCAGGGAGATTGTTTCGCAGGATCATAGCGTATCTTCATTTATTTATAGCAACTGGAAGTGTCGGACCGTGGATGTTCGGTGGCAGACATCACATTTTTCCACTCCATATTACCCAATAGACAGTGCAAGGGACATAACTAATGCTATTAAAGAGAACCACCCAACAGCCATTGTTTTGTATCATAATGTTATATATACCTCATCATACAATCATTATAGCTTTCATCTTCAGATATAAACTAGTGATTACTTAACCAAACATTACTTGGAAGCCAGGTTTGTGTAAATCTCATGAATGAATATGTTAAAAGTCGGCAAATTGTGTTTGTGACACTACGTGTGCATAGACAGGTGTGTGCATAGACAGGTGTGTGCATAGACAGGTGTGTGCAGATCAGAGATGTGTGCATAGACAGGTGTGTGCATAGACAGGTGTGTGCAGATCAGAGATGTGCTCACGTTCAATGTAGCGTTTGCCGTTGGTAATTAAAAGAAAACAAACAACATTTTACAATACATGCAAATTCTATCAAGCTATTATATTTCTCCTTTACCATTCTGATTAAACTCATTATGAAAATAAACAAGAGGCCCAGAGGGCCTGAATCGCTCACCTGGATATCTAAGCAATCATGGCAAACTATTCTCCAAGGGAATATGCCAGACCCCAATGCCAATTCTTGTAGTATGTCTGTATTAGATTTTTCATGCCCGGCAATTTAATGTATGGTTATGGGGTGGGGATCTCAACTGTTTCCAAGCTGTGACTCGGAAACTAGATCCCTACGTTTGTGGCCAGACCACAGGATCAATTCGAATATCATGACTGCATTTGTCTCTTTTTGTCCAGCATTTGTATTTCTAGTCTTGGGGTGGGGATCTCAACCGTTTCAAAGTTATGACCCATGGGTTAAGTCTGCAAGGGCGTGGCAGACCCCAAGGCCATCATGGAAGCACATGTGCATTCATCTCTTTATACTCAGCAATTGTATATATGCATAGTAATAGGGTGGGGATCTCAACTGTTTCCAAGCTGTGACTAAGAAACTAGGTCCCTAGGGGTTCGGTCGGACCCCAGAGTCTATTCTAATACCATGACTACTTTTGTCTCTTTATGCCAAGCATTTGTATATATAGTTCTGGGGTGGGGATCTCAACCGTTTCAAAGTTATGACCCAGGGACTATGTCTCAAAGGGTGGGGCCAGACCCTAGGCCATCCTGGAATCAAATGTGCATGCTTCTCTTTATACTCAACAATTGCATATATGGTTATACCGTGGGGATCTCAACCATTTCCAAGTAATACACTTTTTTTGGCCCCACCACTTAGCACGGGGGGGGTCAGCCCCACCATTTGTACAATTTTGAATCCCTGCCTCCCATGAATGCTTCTGACCAAATATGATCGATATCCATGACATAATTCTACAGAAGAAGTCGTTAATAGCAATATAGCCAAATTGCCCCCTTTTTTACCCACCCCGAAGCCCCCTGGGGGGTCAGCCCAACCATTTGTACAATTTTGAATATCCTCTACCAAGGGATGCTTCCAGTCAAATATGGTTGATATCCATATCTTAGTTCCAGATAAGTCGCCTAAATCAATATAGCGCAATTGCCCCCTTTTGGCCCCGCCCCTCAGGTCCCTGGGGAACCAGACCCACGGTTTATACAAAATTGGTTCCCTTTCACCCAAGGATGCTTCAGATCAAATATGGAACAAACCCTTTCGTTCCTACAGAAGAAAAAGGATTTTAAAGAATTTGCTATGTTTCCCCTATTGGGCCCCGCCGCTCAGGCTCCTACGGGGCCAGACCCACGGTTTATACAAAATGTGTTCCCCTTTACCCAAGGATGCTTCAGACCATATATGGAACAAATCCTTTCATTCCTACAGAAGAAGAAGAATCTTAAAGAATTTGCTATATTTCCCCTATTGGGCCCCGCCCCTCAGGCCCCTCAGGGGCCAGACCCCTTGTTTATACAAAATTGGTTCCCCTTTACCCAAGGATGCTTCAGACCAAATATGGGTTTCATTCCTACAGAAGAAGAAGGATTTTAAAGGATTTACTATATTTCCCCTAGTGGGCCCCGCCCCTCAGCCCCCAGGGGGGGGCCAGACCCACCATTTATACAAAATTTGTTCCCCTTCCCCTAAGGATGCTTCTGACCAAATTTGTTAAAAATCAGCTCAGTCGTTTATGACTAGTAGCGATTTTTAGGAAAAGTTGCTGGACACCGGACGCCGTGCCATGGCATAAGCTCACTTGCCCTTTGGGCAGGTAAGCTAAAACCCCAAAAAAACTAGAAATATGTCAGAATGACATGAAAGTCACCCCATCACTCTGTATGATCATTTTCCGATAAATCATTGACTACGCTACACAGATATATTTCCACCAGTCAATCAAAATGGTAAACAATAACCAGGTGTAAATACATACATGCTGTTCAGGTAGCCATATCATGCCAATACATGGAATTAATAAGAAAGCATGTCGCAAATATAACGTTAGCTTTGACTGACACCTCGAATACGAGGAGATCTCTGTGCTGACACGGTCACCTGGCATGGGCAGAACAGTAATTGGAATATAACGATGTTGATTTCACAACAATAAGTTTCAGACAATATTCAATCTTATATACGGATAAATCTTCTACTATTTTTTGTTATGAAATACATTTTTCCAAGTAGTGAATCGGTCATCGATATCAGCAGAATGTGTACGCTTAAAGGCAGTCACTCTGAAGAGGACCGCCAACAGCCGAATTCGCGAGACATGAAGAACACCAATCAATTGTGATTTCAGCAATTCTCCTTCGAAAAGAAAAGATCGGAATGTATTTGGCTGTTTTGAACCCATTGATATTTAATTTTCAAACTCAAACTTTTATAGTATCACGCTAACTTGACTCTTTGCAGTACACAAACTTGCTAACTTCGCCACTTTACCCATGTCGTTTTGACACATTCCTACTGTCAAGATTGAAGAGTTCAGCATGATTTTACCCAAGAACGACATTTTAACCACAGAGTGATAAATGCGATGCAAGTTTTCGTTATGTTTCCCGATACGTGGTATTTATCAATTCACAACGTAACGTCCTGAAAAGTTGAGCCTACTTTTATCGAGTTTATTTATCCGATTCTATAGTATTATATGACTTAAACTTGCAACTTTTCGTAATTGTTAAATTGGCAATGCAATCAGGAATTATTCAACAAAATTTAGCAGTTTTATTGCTGCAAGCAAATTTCAAAACATTTCCGAAAATCTTCGAAATTTTTTACGAGAAATGGTCGCGACCAAGGACTGGTTTTGATTGTTCTTGAGTATCGTGTACATCCCTTTCTTTTCCCCTTAAAAAAGTGTGCACTATATGCAAATATTAACGGTAGTCGTTGGTCAGACATAAAATATCTAAATCAGTCAATAGCAATTTATAATACGACAGTTTACCCCTTCGGGAACCTCAAAGGTGCCTGATTCATACTCGGAACATCTTTAGGTTACATGTAATTCCCGTGGAAATTTGGAATGCCTTTAGGTTTTATGCTATTCCTGTTTAAAAAGGAAATTGATATCTGAGTTATCCAAGAGCTTGTAATTAGCACCTGGTATATTCCGACAGAAGCAAGACACTTAACAGCCCAAGACAACAGAAGTCAAAATCTGGGACTCACAGAAACCAAAATTAATAGTCCCCACTGGGTTCCCCCAGCGGTGACTAAAAAGGGTGAATAATTTGGGAAAGTATAAATTCAGCTGGGGCAAGGGGATTTTTGGTGTCTACTTGCCCCGGGCAAGGGACTTGAAAAAGAGTGTTTAAACCCTTGTTATTATATGAAGTAGTGATGATAAATTATGGCTATGCCTTAGCTAAAATTCTTTGAAATTTTAACCAATTTGATCCATTTTGGTCCTGCCCACCAGGCCTTCTGCATGAGTCAGGGTCTTAATATCTATACCATCAAATTGAAATCTTATAAATCTAATAAGAATTCCAACAAAGTTTTAATTATATTCCACTGAAAATACACAAAATCCCAATGGGGGGNAAAACATAATCACAATATACCCCTTTGGGACTTGCCCTTCAGACCCATATTATTCACAATTTTGGTATGCCTTTGGCTTTGGAGTCATCCTGCAAAATTTTATTGAAATTGGTTCAGTGGTTATGGAGAAGAAGTCAATAATGTAAAAAGTGTATTCACAACGTACATGTACTTACATACCAAATCTGGTTACTCCAGGTGAAATACATGTAGTATATACAAAAGACATGCCTGGACAAACTTTTTTCCAAGGTTGAGGTCAAAGGTCAAACCATAGGTCACTGGCCTTATTCTTAACTCAAAACTCTGCTAACCCAAGATATGCTTGCATACCTGAAGTCTGAGTACTCTGGGTGAAAAGGATTAAAAATATGCCCCAGACAAGTATAGAAAATGTGTCCCAAACAAACTTTGGGGGTTGACAGACGGACAGAGTGCAAACCTATAGTCCCCACCAGGATCCAGTGGAGACTAATAAAACCAAGTTACCCAAGGAGACAAATATAGGATGTACATGGTTAATAATTAAAGGTAACACAAGGTGCCAGGTATATGTTCATTACACATAAGTACCACAATGTGTCAGGTACAACATTATCAAGATAAATACCGGTAACACTATGTGTCTGGTAAATACCGGTAACACAAGTTGTCTGGTAAATTTATACAAGTAAAACAAGTTGTCTGGTAAATACAGGTAACACAAGTTGTCTGGTAAATACTGGTAACACAAGTTGTTTGGTAAATACTGGTAACACAATGTGTCTGGTAAATACAGGTAACACAATGTGTCAGGTAAATACAGGTAACACAAGTTGTCTGGTAAATACAGGTAACACAATGTGTCTGGTAAATACCGGTAACACAAGTTGTCTGGTAAATACCGGTAACACAAGTTGTCTGGTAAATACCGGTAACACAAGTTGTCTGGTAAATACTGGTAACACAAGTTGTCTGGTAAATAGTGGTAACACAATGTGTCTGGTAAATACTGGTAACACAAGTTGTCTGGTAAATAATGGTAACACAATGTGTCAGGTAAATACAGGTAACACAATGTGTCTGGTAAATACAGGTAGCACAAGTTGTCTGGTAAATAATGGTAACACAATGTGTCTGGTAAATACAGGTAACACAATGTGTCTGGTAAATACAGGTAACACAAGTTGTCTGGTAAATACAGGTAACACAAGTAATATGGTAAACCTCCAGTCAGTTTGAATAGGCAGATTGTTCGAACTCAATTTTTGAACAATGAAAATAATAATTTTCTGTCTAGTAATAGTTCATACCCTGCTTACACACGTTTCGGATTGTTCGAACACACAACTTGAGTACTGAACTTACATAATTATTGATTGAGGTTGGCTATCGGCAATGCAATAATAGCCTCGCGAAACTCGCTTAAACTTGATATATTTACACGACAGCGTTTTACTACTGAATAACGGGTAGTACTCATGTGCGACCATTGTTGTCATCAATGTCGGACAATTTGTTCATAAATAAGTCACATGTCACCGATAATTGAGTTTCTTTCTTGTAAACATGTGCCAGTCAAACATATTTAGGCCTCGACCATGTATAATATCCTAACAGTCACACAGAGCACGGAATGTTACGTCACATCGCTGACAGACGTGTGTATTGTCATGATATTACTGTGATTACAATTTGATTATATAATCGCGACCTGGCCACCGCTCACTGATTTATAACTTAATTGATATATTACCTATACATGTGCCAAAACAAAAATATCTGACCAGGTGGTCGATCGAAATATTAATCCATAATTGCAGTTTCAATCCATCCTCCGCATTCTGATCAGTACAACTGAACTTTCATCATTACTCGAGAAAACATCTACTGCTTTGTGGCCTACATATTAGTCGCTGCTTTGCAATTGAACTTAATAATTGATTATCAATATGTAAGTAAATATAAGAAATATATATATACCATCATTCATCTCCAGATTTGCAAATATATACCACAATAAGGCTATCATTGTTCCGTATCAATAGATTGACTGTTTGCCATGAATTTTGGCGATGTTGACTTGGATAGTTCGAACTCTTTATTTTAGCGGCTATAATTTCGTGTAATTGGAATAGGATTGACGATATTTATTTAATTTTGTTCGAACTGACCGAAGGTTTACTGTAGGCACAACATTATCAAGGTTAGTATGGCAACACTAGTGTTCAGGTACAACATTGTCAAGTTTAATATGGCAACACAAGTGTTCATGTACAACATTGTCAAGTTTAATATGGCAACACAAGTGTTCAGGTACAACATTGTCAAGTTTAATATGGCAACACTAGTGTTCAGGTACAACATTATCAAGGTTAATATTGCAACACAAGTGTTCAGGTACAACATTGTCAAGTTTACTATGGCAACACAAGTGTTCAGGTACAACATTGTCAAGTTTAATATGGCAACACAAGTGTTCAGGTACAACATTGTCAAGTTTAATACAGATATTGAATATTAGTTTTCAGCTATGTTTTCCAGTGTACAATGTCATAAGAGACAACAAAATATTGTAATTAAACATTATGTAAGAATACACGTACCTTTTCAGATATAGACTGAGAAAATTTATGGATTCCATTCTAAAGAATGCATGATGTGCCCTTATCCTTCCTAAAATTTTGAATACTTCAGCAGGCCGGAGGAAAGCTACTAGAACCTTCAATATCAACATCAGTTGACTATGGGGTATTACTGCCATCTTTTCTTTCATTTCTATTGCAATGTCCAAGTAATTGTTGATGCACTTTACAATACCTAGGAATGAAAAGAGATGTATAGTACCTATCAGAAGGGCCTAAAGTTTTTTTTAAACTTGGTCTTATAATAAGTCTTTGTATCAAAATGTTATGGAAACCAATGTGTAGTCAAATTGACTAACCCTCTCTTGATAATTAGACCTGTCAAAATGTTTGATAACGTACAAAAAATGTTTGTTTGCAGTTTTGAATTCCCTACTCACACTTTTTCCAGTTGGTATGTAGGTAGGGATTTGTTTTTAATATTAAAATATCTTTAAACTTCCAGATTTTTTGAAGAAAAAGGAAAACATCTTAATGTGTTCAAAACTGTTTCAGCCACTTTCATTGGGTTGGTGGGGAATCCCCAAACAACCGATTTTCAAAAGATGGCTACATTGCAAATTGATATTAACTAGACTGAGTGCATTTTTAATTAAAATGGAACAGTATGAGAGAATTCGAAAAACTTTTTTGTCGGCATGCTTAAACAATTTTGCACTTACCTATAAACATTAAGTTTATCTTCAGAATATACATATTACAGTAGATTTATCTTTCTTTTATTTCAGGATTACATATTTTATCATTGTTTTCCAACAGGTAAAAGCATGTTTTTGAAATGCAAAATTTACAAAATAATTAACATGTACCTATCTAAAAGATACAAAACAATATAGGTTATATTTGTTGATTTGAGGAGTTATGTACAACACTTAACCAGACTTACCTCTATATTCACCATGTTCCAGCATCTCCATGAGCAGGTAAGCCAAAGTATTAGACAGAAAAGGAAATGATGGATTTGCTCGAACCCTGAAAAAACAATATAACAATTGTCTTTCTTATCATAGAATTCAAGATCTTAATCTCGATCCATTATGATGAAATTACAGAGTATTCCTTTCTTCCTCAAAGGGTGATAGAACTGCAGAGAATCTATTTATAATCAACGGCCCAGGAAACTACAGATTGCCCCTCGATCCTCAACTCAGGAATTTAAAGATTAACATCAATTCTCAATCCATGAAATGTCAGAGAGGGAGTTCTAAACGCATGATATTACTGAGACCCCTCAATCATAAGCATATCAAGTAACAGTGGAGAATAATTCTGAATCTTATTTAGCCATTCTCACCTTTTGGGCCCCATCTTTCCCCAGGGGCGACCATTTTCCCATTTTCGGCCCCATCTTTCTCCAGGGGCGGGGAAAGATCTTTTTTTGACATCCCTCTTATTGCCATCTCATCAAAATTATTCCAACCAAGTTCAAATAATTTCCTGCTGAAAATGGTCAAATTTTACTCTTAACTGTTATTTTCCTATATAAACTATACTATAGTTCAAAACTTTAACTCCTCCCCAAGAGATAGCAGGTGACCCAGGGGTAATGAAAAATTTACAATTTGGTTCAAGCTCCAAAGGATCTTTCCATCTGTGAAAAGTAGTTTATTTTAGTACAAAAAATATTTAGCTCAATCTCCTCAGTTCTCAGGGTGAGGGAAGAATTCATATTCTCAAATTATCTAACAGTATCACAAGTATTGCACTGTTACACACAAAAATAAGTTGCTTTAACTTGTTAATTTGATTTGTGGTTCAATAATCAGCAAGAGGCCCAAGAGGGCCTGTATCGCTCACCTGAATAGTTAAGCAGTCATATATATTGCACTAAAAATATTTCCCTCGCAAACTTTGTTGGCTCCATCTGTTGAAACTACCAGCAAAATAAGATTCTATGCTTTTTGATTCTTCTTCAGAAGTTGCTTGACATATTTTTCCCTGTGATCTTGTAAGTAGGATAAAGTCATTTTCCTTCTCAAATTGGTTAGCTCTATTCCAAAATGCTAGCAGCCAAATCTTATGAATCCATTCCTTTTAGTTCTTGAGAACAAATCCTTTAAAATGTTGTTGACCTCTGTGACCTCTAAATTAGGTTGAGGTCATTTTCATTCGCAAACTTTGGTGAGCTCTATCCATGGAAGTCACCAGCCAAATACTATAATTTCATGAATTTTAATTCCTCAGAAGTAGTTTGAACCATTTGACATATTTGAACGCTGTGACCTTGAAAGTCAACGTCATTTTCAATCGCAAACTTTGTTTGGCTCTTTCCCAGGAAATAACCAGCCAAATATTAAGGTTCTATACTGTCCAGTTCTTCAGAAGAAGTTGTTCTAAGCGTTAGACATATCTGACTCCTGTGACCTTGAAAGTAGGTCAAGGTCATTTTCAAACACAAACTTTGTTGGGCTCCTTCCCAGGAAATAACCAGCCAAATACTAAGGTTTTATACCGTCCAGTTCTTCGGAAGAAAGTCGTTTTAAGAGTTTGACATAACTGCCTCATGTGACCTTAAAAACAGGTCAAGGTCATTTCCATTCTCAAACTTTGTTGGGCTCTTTCCCAGAAAGCTACAAGCCAAATATTTAGGTATTATACCTTTCAGTTCTTCAGAAGAAGTCGTTTTAAGCATTAGACATATCTGACTCCTGTGACCTTGAAAGTAGGTCAAGGTCATTTTCGTTTTCAAACTTTGTCGGGCTCTATCCCAGGAAGCCACCAGCCAAATATAAAGATTCTATACCTTTCAGTTCTTCAGAAGAAGTCATTTGAAGTGTTTGAGACATTTGACCCCTGTGACCTTGAAAGAAGGTCAAGTTAGTTTTCATCCTAAAACTTTGCCGGGCTCTATCCCAGGAAGTCATCAATCAAATATAAAGATGCTTTGCCATTCAGTTCTTCAGAAGAAGTCATTTTAAGCATTTGACATATTTGACCCTTGTGACCTTGAAAGTAAGTCAAGGTCATTTCCATTCTCAAACTTTGTTGGGCTACATCCCAGGAACCCATCAGCCAAATATGAAGATTCTATACCTTTTAGTTCTTCAGAAGAAGTCGTTTGAAGTTTTAAACATATTTGACCCCTTTGACCTTGAAAGTAAGTCAAGGTCATTTTCATACAACTTTGTCGGGCTCCTACCGACAAAGCTTTCAGTCAAATATCATGACTCTAGGCCTGTTCGTTCTTCAGAAAAAGTTGCTTAAAGGAAAAGTTGACAGATGGACAGACGACAGACAGGTGAGCTAATAAATAACAACAATGCTTCATCCTGATAATGCAAATAATTATGTGATTTTATGGTGAAATTAAATTATTTTGTGTGGAACAGTACATTTGTGAAAATTACCCGTGTATCAAGTAGACTTTACATTTCTTATTTCTTTTTCATCTTATTGACATAACCTATTTATTGTGCGAGTGTGTGCTCATGTGCATTGTTAGCAATGATGTTGCAGATGCACTTACAACAAGAACGATAATATGTTGATGTTTGAGACTATTATCAGTTATTAAAATTCATTAAACTACAATAAAATCATAGTATTTCTTTAACTGCAGGAACCATGACGACTACACGATGATTAACTGACAGTATTCGTTCTGATGATACTCTAACAGTTAACGGAATACATCTCGGGTCATTCCAGTGTTCCTACACTATACAACTTGGTAGTATTAATTCTGATGATACTCTAACAGTTAACGGAATACATCTCGGGTCATTCGAGTGCCTCTTCACTATACAACTCTGAAGAGTGGAACCATCAGATAAGTCAAATATTTGTATCAGTCCCGAGGATTTCAACTTATGTGAGTTTTATTGTGTAGCAAACAGTAGAACTAATTGACCCTGAGGGGGCAATGAAAATTTTACAATTGTTATAACCTAGCTAATATGCACCCTAAATGACCTTTTCTTGCTGGGTATACCCAAAAGTGTTATTTCCCAATATAAACTAAAGTAAAACTTACCCCGGGCCATCCCTAAAGGAGAGCAGATGACTCGGGGCATGATCAAACTTACCCCGGACCATCACCAAAGGAGAGCAGTTGACTCGGGGCATGATGAAATTTACTCCGAGCCATTCCTAAAGGAGAGCAGATGACTCGGGGCTTGATGAAATTTACTATCAAAATCATGCGCCTGGGGACTTTTTCATTCATGAAGAGTATTTTGTTCTTGTACAAAATTACCAAAACGCGAGGGATACTGCAGACTTCTTGAAGATAAATTAAACTTAATGAAGGAAACTAATAGGAGACAATTGCATTTAAACTGTTCTTTGAAGAACAACAAGAGGCCTAGAAGGCCTGTATCGCTCACCTGGAAATCTAAGCAATCATGGCAAAATATTCTCCAAATGAGATCCAAGGGAATATGCTAGACCCCAATGCCAATTCTTGTAGTATGTCTGTATTAGATTAATCATGCCCAGCAATGTAATGTATGGTTATGGGGTGGGGATCTTAACTGTTTCCAAGCTGTGACTAAGAAACTAGGTCACGAGGGGTTCGGTCAGACCCCAGGGTCTATTCTAATACCATGACTACTTTTGTCTCTTTATGCCAAGCATTTGTATATATAGTTCTGGGATGGGGATCTCAACCGTTTCAAAGTTATGACCCAGGGACTATTGTCTCAAAGGATGGGGCCAGACTCTAGGCCATCCTGGAATCAAATGTGCATGCTTCTCTTTATACTCAACAATTTATGGTGATACCGTAGGGATCTCAACCATTTCCAAGTAATAAACTTTTTTGGGCCGCTTACCTTAGCACGGCGGGGGCAGCCCCACCATTTGAACAATTTTGATTTTGAATCCCTGCCTCCTATGAATGCTTCTGACCATAGATGATATCCAGTGAATAGTTCTACAGAAAAAGTCGTTTGTAGCAAAATAGTCATATTGCCCCCTTTTGGCCCCACCCCTCAGCCCCTTCGGGAATCAGCCCAACCATTTGTACAATTTTGAATCTCAACTACCGAGGGATGCTTCCAGTCAAATATGGTTGATATCCATCTTTTAGTTCCAGAGAAGAAGTCGCTTAAATCAATATAGCCCAATTGCCCCCTTTTGGCCCCCCCGCTCAGGTCCCTGGGGGGCCAGACCCACGGTTTATACAAAATTGGTTCCCCTTTACCAAGTATGCTTCAGACCAACTATGGAACAAATCCTTTCATTTCTACAGAAGAAGAAGGATTTTAAAGAATAATTTGCTATGTTACCCTATTGGGCCCGCCCCTCAGGGGCCTGAAGGGCCAGACCCACAGTTTATACAAAATTGGTTCCCTTTCATCTAAGGTTGCTTTAGACTAAATATGGAACAAATCCTTTCATTCCTACAGAATAAAAAGGATTTTAGAGAATTTGCTATATTTCCCCTAATGAGCCCATGCCCCTCAGCCCCCAGGGGGGCCAAACCCACCATTTATACAAAAAAATCCTTTCCCCAAGAATGCTTCTAACCAAATATGGAACAAATCCTTTCATTCGTACAGAATAAGAAAAGTTTTAAAGAATTTGCTATATTTCCCCTATTGGGCCCCGCCCCTCAGCCCCCAGGGGGATCAACCCCCCATTTGTACAAAATTTGTTCCCCTTCTCCCAAGGATGCTTCTGACCAAATTTGGTCAAAATCTCCTTGGCCATTTAGGACAAGTAGCGTTTTAAAGGAAAAGTTGACGGTATGGCATAATTATAAGCTCACCATGGTCCTTTGGACCAGGTGAGCTAAAAACAAAACTCGAGCTCAATGCCTCACAAATATTCTGAGGAACATGGACGCAATAAAGAGTGGTGACCAAGAAAGTGGTAACTTTAGTAAAGACAGCAGGATTGGGGGCTCTACTCATGACACAGTCAGCATGATGACAGAAGGAGACAGATCGATGGCAAAATAGCGCACATACGCAATCATATGAGCTAATAATCATGTATAACAAGTTTCATGAAAATAGGTTTTGAGTTTGGGTGTCAAACGGAATGAATTTAAGTAACTGGTTTAGTTTAGTTTAGTCTCCTTGTGACCTTGAATATGATTCCAGGTCATACATTTGAACAAACTTGGTAGCCCTTCATACAGCTAGCTACTGACTAAATATCAACATAATGGGCCTTTTGGATATTCAGAAGAAGTTGTTTAAAGGTCTTTTTTAACAATTGACCCCTGCGACCTTGTAAATAGGTGAAGGTCATTCATTTCAACAAACTTGATAGCCCTTTACCCCAGCATGCTACTGGCCAAATATCCTCACCCCGGGCATTTTGGTTATTCAGAAGAAGTTGTTTAAAGTTTTTAACATATTTGACCCCTGTGACCTTGAATATGGGTGAAGGTCAATCGCTTTAACAAACTTGGTAACCCTTCATCCCAGCACGATACTGACCAAGTATTAACATTGTAGGCTTTTGGTTATTCAGAAGAAGTTGTTTAAAGAATTTACCATATTTGATCCCTGTAACTTTTAATATAATTCAAAGTCATTCATTTGAACAGACTTGGTAGCCCTTCATCCCATCTTGTTATGTGCCAAATAACATCATCCTGCGACTTTTTGTTATTGAGAAGTCATTTAAAAGTTTCAAACATATTTGACCCCTGTGACCTTAAATATAAGTCAAGGTCATTCATTTAAAGAAACTCGGTAGCCCTTTATCCCAGCATGCTTCTGGCTAAATTTCATCACCCTGGGCATTTTGGTTATTCAGAAGAAGTCGTTTAAAGATTTAAACATATTTGATCCCTGTAACCTTCAATAAATGTTAAGGTCATTCATTTAAACAAACTTGGTAGCCCTGCATCTCAGCATGCTACTGGTCAAATATCATCACCCTGGGCATTTTGGTTATTCATCAGAAGTTGTTTAAAGATTTTAAAATATTTGACCCCTGCGACCTTGAAAAATTGGTGAAGGTCATTTATTTGAACAAATTTGGTAGGCCTACATCCCAGCTTGCTATACTGGCCAAATATCTTCACCTTGGGAATTTTGGTTATTCAGAAGAAGTTGTTAAGATTTTTACATATTTTACCCTTGTGACCTTGAAAATTGGTAAAGGTTATTTATTTTAACAAACTTTGTAGCCCTTCATCCCAGTTTGTTACTGGCCAAATATTATCACCCTAGGCCTTTTGGTTATTAAGAAAAAGTTGTGTAAAGAAAAATATTGACAATGGAGACGGATGCCGGATGGATGAACGATGGACACCGCGCAATGGCATAAGCTCACTTGGCCCTACAGGCCATATGAACTTAAAATTGTAATTTGGAAAATGCAGGATCATATTTTGATTGAGAATGGGTCCCTGTACCAGACCCTATAAGCCCCCGAAGATCTGCTATACATTTAACAAGGTACTGATAACTAATTATAACGAGGGATAGTGAATAAAAGTCTCAATTATTCTGACACAAATGACTTTTACAGCTATATACTGTTGCAATGCAAGTCAACAAGATTTTGTATTTTTAAGGACAATCTCAACAATAATTAATATGAAAGTGAAATAATTTACAATTTATACCTACATTACATCCAGGAAATGCATAGCCTGTTCAAATTTCTTTCTGTCTCGGTACATGATCACCAATTTTTTAGCAAAGTTTGATTGCCCTCTTTCATCATATCCTTTTTTCATTTCATCAAATTTTCGTAGAACTTCATCGTCATTCTGGAATGAACAAAAATTCAATGCCCTAATGCAGGTCCATTGCAGTGTCCCTCACTTCACATCATAGCTTTAAAGCAAAGTAAATATAAGATGGCCTCCAACCTCCCATTATCAGAGTATCATTATGATGTGGTATAAGGCCTCCTTCATCTCAATGTGACTGATCAAGGTCTCCAGCTTCCTTTCATTTTAAAGTGATTATTGTATTCGACATACCTATTAAGTGCACAGTGCACTAACAAAAATGCAAGAGGGGTGCATTTAACAAGCATCGCTCACCTATTATTAATCTCACAATTGTAACCTTAAAAGTGGAATAAAATAAAGCTACAGGCATAATGTAAGTGTCTTGACTTCAGAAGAACCTGTTAAACGATTAAAACACATTTGACCCTGTGACCTTGAAAGTGAAACATGGACATTAAGTTAAACAAACTCCATAGCCCTTCCTCCTAGAATGCAACTTGCCAAATATCACCACCTTATATCTTTTATTTATTGAGAAGATGACTTTTACAGATGTATTCACTATGGACCAGATGTGACCGTGAAAGTGCGTAAAGGTCATTCACATCGACAAGCAATCACCCTGTATGCTTTAGTTATTTAGAAGAAGTCATTGATTTCAACATATTTTACCCCTGTGACCTTGAATATGGGCAAAGGTCAGTCATTTAAACAAACTTTGTAGCCCTTCATGCCAACAATCCTTCTGGCCAAATAGCATAACCCTGGACCTTTTGGTTATACAAAAGAAGTTGTTTAAAGGTTTTTAAGACAATTAACCCCTTTGACCATGAATATAAGTGAAGGTCATTTGTTTGTACAAACTTGGTAGCCCTTTATCCATGCAGCTACTGGCCAAATATCATCACCCTGGAGCTTTTGGTTATATAGAAGAAGTCGTTTAAAGGTTATCAAGACAATTGACGCCTGTGACCTTGAATATGGATGAAGGTCATTCATTTGAACAAACTCAGGAGCCCTTCATGCCAACATCCTTCTGGCTAAATATCATCTTGAAAATTGGCAAAGGTAATTCATTTGAACAAACTTGGTAGCCCTTAATCCCAGTATGCTTCTAGCCAAATATCATCAGCCTGGGCCTCTTGGTTATTCAGAAGAAGTTGTTTAAAGTAAAAAGTTGACGCCGGACAGACGCCGGTCCATGCCATAAGCTCACTTGAACCTTCGTTCAAGGTGAGCTAATAAATAAAGGACTTGGAATGGTCCTTCATGGTTCACAAAAAATACATAAAAAGAGGCCCAGGGGCCTTGATAGCTCACCTGGTATTTCATTTTAATTTAAAACCTGCTGAATACCATAACTGTTTATCAAAGGAGTATAAGAAATACAAGTTGCAAGAAGGACTATATTTTAATATGTTTGGGTGGGTAAGACACCAAGAACATGAGCGTATTCTTCATGATATTAAAGTTATACTTTTTACACAAACAATGTACATATTTAACGTGTCGCAATGTTTCAAGACCGACTGGTCCCTTTGTCAAGCTATGACTGAGTGAGTGATTTGTATTATTTACCTATACGACGATGTGACGAAATTGTATATTTTATATGTCACTCGACCCGGAGACGTTTTGCCTATTGATAGGGAGCATATACACACTGCATCAGATTGGTTACAGGTAGGGTGTAGATCTAGCCCCCTCCCCTGCTCTGTCAGAGTATTGGGTCATACACACCTGCCAACCCCGGATATACTAAAAGAGGGTGATGACCCTCTGTTGAAAATTAAAAAAGAGGGTCATAGGGCGAACAGCTTTTTTCGCAACAAATATAAGAAAAATAAATATTAAATTAGAACTTAAATATTTTAATGATGTAAATATTCTTCCAGCATATCTAGCTGATCCTCATCCACAATACCAAATTCAAGGCTGAAAAATAAAACGATTTGTCAACAACACAACTTATAAAATTAATTCATAATAAAATATATGATACTGTGTTTTCACAGGCATTTTCTATGTCAATTAAAATGGTCCTGACAAGAAGTTGCACCCTACTCATATAAAATATCAGTTTTATATGAGTAGGGTTTGAACTCAGAAACAAATCATCAAATGCCTGTGCGTGTTTTTGAATGTCTTGGTAATGTCGTTTTTAGCACCAGATCAAACTGAAATATGCGATGTACAAAGACTAGAATGCAGCGTTTGGTCCACGTCGACCGCGGGACTTTATACACTATAACTCATTTTCCTGCAACATTTGATATGTGCACAATTATCTTTTCTTTTAGAATTTCGTGTAGTAGAACCTGCAAGTCCCGGTAACGACTTCTTCCTTCTAGAAGACATACAGTTGTGGGACCGCACAACGCACCAAAAATAGAGCGGCACACCGTGCATACATCGTTCACACACCGTCCGCACATCGTCCACACATGGAGCGAACAACTGTGCGATTTAGCAATCGTTCACCCCGTTGTGCGCTTCTCTCCACACAACTGTGCGATCTGGTATCATTTGTAGATCAAAATTACGGAATGACAAAAATACGGAAGGCTTGTATGCGATAATGTACACTGTGTATATCTGTAATTTGTCATCACAATAATCAAGATTATACAATTTCACAATGCGTGTTACACAATTACAGCAACCGTTAGGTTGTCAAGAATGGGTTTGGCTCCAAGGTAACAGAACAGGTAAATAACAATTTTATGAGTGTCCGGGGTTTTACCTGACCAGTGCCTGACACACAGAGCTGATATGCGATACTGTTTGACCGTAATGAATAGTATTTGTTATTTGCATTCATTTGCCTATAGCTCCCCTTCACCTGGATTTTCACACCCCCGGCCTTACCCGACAAGTTACATAAGTGCCCCAGGCGGGGAGAAAACTACGGTCCAGGTACATGTACAAAGTGGTTATGTTAACCTGTATACGGGATTGTGTTGTAATTTTACATGTGTCGATTAAATTTGTTTAAAAACACAGAAAACACAATTTCTAAATAAAAGAATGTATAGACAGAAAGATAAGTTTATAGATGTTGCTAGAATATAGAAACATACGTAAACATCAAGTTTATATGTTTAAACCGTATAAATTGTTAAGGCATTCCTCAATTTACACCAACCACGATTGTTATCCCACAACGTCTGTCAATCGTGCGCACAGATGTGCGCAAGCAATAATCGTCCAGCTTTTTATTGTTCGCCCATCGTGCACACAAAGTTCACACACTGTGCACACATTGTGCGCACATCGTGTAACGCTGTGCGATCCCACAACTGTAAAGTTACCTCTAAAATACGATTTATTCTACGTAAATACAATTGTAAAAACAACTCTATTATTTGTTAAAACACCTGACTAATTACTTGTCGGCAAGTTAAGTAACAACGGTCTTTATATAAACATTTGTAAAAACAAGTCTAGAACGTATAAACAACTCGCAACTAACCTGTTGGTGAGAAACGGAAACGGGAAATAGATTGTCTTTCTTATGGAGAAGGATGGAAATGTCTAGAGAATTCCGAGTGACTTTGGTAACTTCTAATATACGAAAAGATTCCGAGTGAAAACGGGTGAAATTGACGAAATCTGGGTCAAAACCGTCACCCGGCGGGTGAAGTTATAATTATAAAAGCGGGTGAAGGGCTAAACTCCCGGGTGTAACACGACGAAATATGGTCATTTGGAAGGTATGGTCATACAGATGACTAAGCTGGTGTCCCCCCTCGTCTCTGTTCATGTTCTGAGTTTTCCTGATTTTGATTGCTTCTTTGATTTGTCGATGTGATTTTGGGTGTAAGTGTGATCTGTTAAAGCCGATTTATTGTACTGGGTGGCGGATGTTTTGCATGTGGATCTGGTGAATGTGATATTGCTCATTTTCTCTACGCCTTTTTGATGTTCCATCAAACGTGTGCCAAATTTTCTCCTAGTTTCACCTATATATGACTGCTGACAAATTTTGCATCCTATTTGATATACAACTCGTGTTTTGTCTAAAATGTCAGTCTTGTCTTTGGGGTGCACCAGTAACTGTCTGAGGGTTGTCAGTGGTCTCATCGGGGTGCTGAAATGGTGTTTTCTCATCACCCGTGCACAAGCCTCAGATGTCCCCTTCACGTAAGGTATTGTGTCGACCCAGCCTTTGCTTTTGGTTTGGCTATCATTACTTTTCTTCTATCTCGGTTTTCTATTTTCAGTCTTTTCTTTTACTGCTTTTTTCACCTTATTTATTGACCAGTCTGGGTAGCTGGCTATCTGATTGACCTATCTGATGCAGTGTGTATATTGTATATGCTCCCTATCAATAGGCGAAATGTCTCAGGTCGAGTGACATGTAAAATATACAATTTCCTCACATCGTTGTAAAGCTAGGTAAATAATACAAATCGCTCACTCAGTCTTGGCTTGACAAAGGGACCAGTCAGTCTTGAAACATTGCGACACGTTTAATACATACATTGTTTGTGTAAAAAGTAAAACTTTGATATCACATATTTCCAAACTGATGAATCTATGGAACGTATTCTTCATGTTTAGCAATTTTGTAAATGGTTATGACAGAGAGATCTCAACTGTTTCCACGTTATAACCCAGGTAGGTAGTCTCCAGGGGTAATTCCGAACCCCCAGGCCAATCCTGGTAGCATGTTTTCTTATTTGGTTATAGGGTTGGGATAAAATCCTGGAAGGTGAAGGATTTTATTGTCCCACTTTCAAAATTAAAGGATACTTAAGCACATACTTAATTGAATCCCCTTTGTCCAAAGATGCTCTAGAGAAGTTTGGTAAAAATTGCTTCATTTGTACAAAAGGAGAAGGATTTTAAAAGTATCCTCTATTTCCACTTTTGGGCCCTGACCCTATGCCTCTAGGGGGGTCACAGTTTCAGTTTATACAAAATTGAGACTTTTTACACTAAGCATGCATGCTTAAGACCACATTTGGTTTAAATCCCTTCATTTATACAGAAGGAGAAAGGGCCCCACCCCTCTGCCTATCTTTGAGCCA